TTTCCTGCGCAAACCCCGCTCCCGGGCGCGAAGCTTCCGTCCCGCGCCGCGTCCCGCCAGAGTGGCCGCACCGCCGTCACCCCGCCACCAGCACCCAGGTGCCCCGGGCTCTGGCTCACTGCCGCGGGGGCGGACAGGATTCTGCTTTGGGGACCGGGTTTTAGGCTGCCTGAAAGTGGAGCTTGTAGCGGATAGGAGAATTTAGGGGTTGGGAGTTGAAGTGCATGTTTTGATAGGACGTTGATCGGCAAAAAAAAATAAATAAATAAATAAAAATTTTTTTAAGAACGTCTTTTAATTTGTTCGCGACAATGGACACTTAAGCACAAGTGTGACTGTGACTCTCCAGGCTCACAGATGAGACATCCAGGCCAAGCTTTCACTCTCAGATCCTGCAGTCAACACGCCAGGGTCCTATTGTCACATGCCCTTCACTCTCACCCAGGGCACACGCCCAGTCCCACCCACCCTGAGGCCACCGCACACCTCGCTCCCTGGGCCTCAGGAAGCCCCAGCGGTGTGCGTCCCGGGATTACACCTCTGCTAAATCCACCAGCTCCAAGGAGCCCGCCCCTGCGGGGCTCAGGAAACCAACCCCACGTTGGCTTGAGTTTAAAAGTTAAAACAGTTTATGCCACAGATGTCCGCACTCAGGCTTCGTGTTGTTAGTTCAAGGGGTTTTTTTCATAGAATAAAAGAATTGCAAGCCTTCAAGCTCCTTTAAGATCTCCTGTAGAAGCCAAAAGAGACGATAAGGACCGAATTTATAAGGACTGATGTTTGGGGGATTTTAGGGGGCTTTTAGTTTTACTTCCGTTTATATAGACTAGTGGCATTGGGGATTTTTCCCCCTCTGTGCATATTAATTTATTTTTCCTTTTATCTTATAGGAGTTTTAAAAGTTCTGCTGACGGGGTTTGTGGGTGTCCCAAGCTCTTATACAGTTTAAACTTGACCCTTTTTCTTACTAAAATGATTCATAATTTTATTTAATGGTGAAGCATGCTAAGTTTCAAGACTTTATCTAGGGCTTTAGACGTTGTTTTTTTAAAAAGCACTTAAACGTTTATAAAAATGTTATTGCTAGTAAGATTTTTAACGTTCTTTTTTGAAAAAAAGCAATAAGGACATTAAAACAAAATTATTGTGTGGAATTTCAGTTTATAATTCTGAAAGCAAGCTGCTTGAAAGGTGCCCTAGACTTTATTTCTTGATTTTAGAATAGAGTTTTCTTTGTCGATGTACAAAATAAACAGAAAATATTTTAATATCTAGAACAAACATCTAGAAACTACCCCTAGAGGAATTTCATTTTGGCTCTGGAATTACTTTATGCATCTAACTGGCCGGGGCCCCAAAACACAGAGGCTCTTTGGCACTCTGAATATCTGAACTGTTTCCAAAATGAGTTCACAGTCCTTTCCCAAGATTTTATTCTTAGGAAGCGGAACTACTCTATGATTTCTTAGACTCCCTTTTAAACAGGAAGATGCCAATTAAATTTTTTTTTTCATTTTGTGAATAATTTTCTTATATGCTGTCTCAGGATTTTCTAGTATTTTTATTCCCTAAACACACTGAAGTGCAATTTTAAATTTTTCATTATATATGTTACGCAAATGTATGTTGTTGTTGTTGTTAAGTGCCATTGAGTTGTAGATGACTCATAGCTCAATCCTATGAACAAAAGACCTGAACACTTGTATTAACTTTCATCGTTTCTCCAAGTTCATAGTTTCTGGAGGCAAGCTATTTTGGAAGTAGATGCTTGTTTTATTCGGGAAGCTCCACCAAACACTGTCCACCATGGGTAACCATTATCACATTTGACACATCAGTGTCACAGTGTTTAGCATTACAGCAACCATGAGTTACCTCTATACAGCAAATGGACAGACCAGTGCTATACCACTTAGAAGAATGTTTGAACGAAAACAATTAAAACCAGGCCTGATAGGTTTGTTGTTGTTGTTGTTGTTGTTGTTTTAATAGTATATGTAATATTCTTCCCAGATCCCTTGCAGAATAATGTGTTGAAGGTTGAGCTGCTAAACGAAACACAGTTGGTTGGAATCCACCATCCACTTTATGGGAGAAAGATGAGCAATTTGAACACATTAAGAATAATAGGCTCAGAAACTTGGGCAGTTCGACCTTGGCCTCCAAGGCCACTATGAGTTGGAATTGTTTGAATGGCAGTGAGAAAAAGGCTAATTTGTGTATCACCTGGTAAGAGATGTTAAAGGTAAAAAGAAAATAAATGTACCATAATTTCATATATTAATGAAAATGTTATCAAAGAAATTGCAGAATGCTTTCTGCAAATTTGTTCATACATTTTCTTTTTCCATTTAAAACTGTTGTGTACTGTCAAGCCAGAACTGACCCACAGCTGACCCTCCAGCAGGTTTTTAGAGACACATTCACACAGGAGATTATCCATCCTTCTCCCACGTATCGGCTGGTAGACTCAAACCACGTACCTTCGGGATTGCAGCTCAGCTTCTTGCCACTAGGCCACCAGCGTTTTCAAGTGGCTTGGTGTTGTTGTTGTTGTACCGTTGAGTCGTTTGCGACTCATAGCGACCCTATGTACAACAGCCCTAAACCCTGCTCCATCCTGTGCCAATCTCATTGCCTCTGACAAACCCATCCCGATTACCCCAGTCACTGAATCAATCCACCTCATAGAGGGTCTTCCCCTCCTGCGCTGTCCCTCCACTCTACCCAGCATGGTGTCCCTC